ATGTATAACATATATGCATGCATATAATATGTATATTGTAAATATAATACATGCATACAAATGTTTTACACATTATATGTACTTACACATATTTATACACATAATACTGTTAATTTAAAGTAATATTAGAACTGGGAGTATCCTTTTATTTTGTATGTTTTTTATTTGTTTTCTGATAAAGAAACCTAACAGTATGTAAATCAAAATAAAGCTTAATTTAAGAGTATACTCTTATAACCAATAGCTGAATCTTAGTCAAATCACAGCAGCTAAGCATCTGTCAATAAGTCAAAACATTGATTTTTACAGTTAAGCTTTCTCTGCATATCACTTCTGAATTCTGTTTAAAAAAAAAAAGTGACCACATTACAGCTTAAAAGTCTGGTTCTGAGGGCTGCTTAATTATAAAATTGGAAGTAAAACCCAGTTGAGATATTTAAACTACATTTGTTTAATTTGTGAAGATGTTTAAACTAAATTACATATTTATACAAACAATTCATATTCACATGTAAATAATATATACATATGTACTACATATATACCTACCTTACTTTGTACAATAGATGCCTTGTAAAATATTCAAAAATCTGTATTTTATAATATTTCCTCTTGATTAGATTCAAGTTAAATATTTTCAGCAATGTTAGGCATGCTATGACATGCTAATTGCAACACCTTTAATGGCAGTTTGTCTTGTTACTGGTGATGCTTAGTTCTAGAAATGATTTGACAGTGTTCAGCAGATATTTCCGTGGTAAACACACTTGTTTCCTGGTTAATTAAGATATAATCTGAAAAGTGACATGCTAATACTGTGAGAATTCCCTCTCCCTCAAAATGTTTCATCAGTGATGGGACTATTCACTGACATTCCTTGCTTGAATTGAATATTACATTTGTAGGTGGAAAATTGGAGATTACCCCCATTTATCTGTCTTCTTTCTAAGAGATTTACCTCAAAGCTATTATCATTAAATAATTTTCAGCAAATTTTAGAAACATTTTAGCTTTACAAAAATGTGTGGAGTTAGTAAATTCTGATATATCACACACTTACTTCTCCATGTCACCAAAATCTTACATTATTGTGGAACTTGTGGTGTAAATAATGGGCCAATGTGGATACTAATATGCACTGTGTGTAATGAAATCCATACTTTATTCAGATTTCTATAGTTTACAGCTGGTCTTATTTTTCTCTCCCATAATCTCATTTATGAAATCACATTGCTTTTAGTTCTCTTGACTCTTCAGGTTCCTCTTGGCTACGTTGGGTTCTCAGACATTCCTTGGCTTTGATGATCTAGCATAATTTTGAGAACTAGTAAGT